TAAAAGACGCTTGCTCCTGGGGAGGAAAACTATGGCAAATCTAGACAGCATACTAAAAAGCAGAGATATCACCCTGCCAACAAAAGTACGTATAGTCCAGGCCATGGTTTTCCCAGTTGCAATGTATGGCTGTGAAAGTTGGACCATAAGAAAGGCTGAGCACAAAAGAATTGAGGCCTTTGAACTATGGTGCTGGAGAAGACTCCTGCGAGTCCCTTGGACTGCAAGGCGTTCAAACCGGTCAGTCCTAGAAGAGATCAACCCTGACTGCTCTTTAGAAGGCCAGATCCTGAAGTTGAAACTCAAATACTTTGGCCACCTAATGAGAAGGAAGGACTCACTGGAGAGGGGCCTGATGCTGGGAAAGATTGAGGGCAATAGAAGAAGGGGACGACAGAGAATGAGATGGCTGGATGGAGTCACTGAAGCAGTAGGTGTGAACTTAAATGGACTCCAGAAGATGGTGGAGGACAGGAAGACCTGGAGGAACGTTGTCCATGGGGTCGCGATGGGTCGGACACGACTTTGCAATTAACAACAATGTATTAAAGCAGGCTATTGATTAGATTTGGATCAAAACACATAAACTATATTTACATTAAAGCTCTGACATTAATACAAAATCCAGAAGTTAATTAGATATTTCAATTAAGCTTGGACTAACAAATATCTAAAATCAGTAAGCAGAAAAAGAAAGAGAAATATGGATGCAAGGACATTATTGTCTGATCACAATAAACCAACTTTTCACACTACAGATGTATTGCATGGGTTTCAATTTCCAAAATTTCCCTGTTTTCATGCCCCCCCCCCCGATGAATGTTCTGAGAGTTGAAAGTTGAAAAGCTTCCAGGAGGAGAAAGTGTGAGGTAACTAAGGGAGCAAAGATTCAATACAAGAAAAAAAAATCTTGACATAATAATATTATTGAATAAATACTTAAATATTCCCAATCCACAATTAAAATTTAGAATAGAATAGAATGAAATTCTATTAAGAATCAAATGAGAATCTTGCAAAAAAAATGGAATATATTATTGAAATATCCTGTTTTTAACAAGTCAATGGGATAAAAGCATGAAAGAACATTAAATGTGCATCCTATCTGAAGATTTAATGAATACCACAAAAGATTCTTGTTTGTGTCTATTGGACACCTCAGATGACATGTAATAGAGAATTGGTTTCTGCTTCTTGGATAAACTTTAGAGGAAACACTGTTTCACATGTTTTAGACTTCTTCTAAAGTGACATTGTTTGGATTTCTTATTCATAAGGTTATTAATCAATATTAATTAATTCCTTGAATTTTTGGCAGTTTTCGATACCCTTGGCCATGATATCATTCTGAGTTGGGCTCTGTGGGTTGCCACAAGGTTCTATCCTCTCTCCCCCTCCTTTTCAATATCTACATGAACAACATTCAACATCTGCTGGATGAGCTCATCTGCTGGTTTGGAATTTGATACCATCAGAATGCTGGTGACACCTAATTACATCTTTCAATTATGGGCTAGCTAAGTGAGGCTGTTGAGATTCTGCCCCAATGCCTGGAGGCTGTGTGAGTTTGAATAATGAGAAATTGTCCCTGATTTGATCTTACCAAGGCTAACTAACTATGGACTGCCAAGATCTGGGGCTATTCCAGCTTTGACCGAGGGTGTGGTTGCACTTCCCCTTTGAAGGGTGGTGGTGCACAATTTAGAGGTCTTCCTGGACTCACAGCTCCTGTTTGATGAGCAGGTGGCAACCATGGCCAGGAAGGCTTTTACTCAGCTTCACTTAGTGCATCAGTTGAGTGCTTTCCTAGATTGGGGAATACTTCAGAAAACCATACATCCCCTAGCTTGATTACTGTAGTACACTCAACACAAAGCTGCCCTGGAAGACCACTTGGAAGTTTCAGCTAGTCCAATATACAGCAGCATGGGCAGGAATGGGCATGCTTTGGTATGCCTATATAATATCTCCACTTTGTGAACTGCATTGGTTCTGGTTTGCTTCCAGGTATGATTCAAGGTGCTGGTAACTATCTATAAAGCACTATAGGGAATAGGACCTAATGGTAGAAGAACAATCTGTCCCCATGGTCTCTGCCTGACCTATTCCATCAGGAGGGGTTGGTACATGATAGGTTCCTTCAGTTAAACAATATAATGTACAGTGACCCCTGAAGCATGGCTTCTCTGCCCTTTGGAATGAGGTTTAGTCCAAGATACAAACAGTCCCCACCCTACTAGTATTTCTAAGCTTCTAGAAGGCAAGGATGACTGACACCTTTTCTCTTCAGTTTCCTTGTTTTCCTTTGGGTTTTTCCATTTTTGTTCTTTTGTCTTCTTTCTTTTTCTTTTTCTTTATTTTTAACATCTTTTTAACAAGTTGTAAACCATGCAGAATCTCATAAATTTTGATGATGACGAGTATGATGAAAGACGCTTATTGTATTTCTTTTCTTTATAATATTTTCATTTATACTTTTCTGTTCCATTTTTATATTCGGGTAATATTAATGGCCTAGAACTTGGAGTCTCCAAACTTGGCAATTTTAAGACTTGTAAACTTCAACTCCCAGAATTCTTCATCCCCCAACATGAGGAATTCCTGTAGTTGAAGTCCACAAGTCTTAAAGTTGCCAAGTTTGCAGACCTCCTAGCCTAGAACCATTTGGGGAAAGAAATGGGTGTTTGAAGCACCCCAAATGTAAAGCTCTCATTCTCCTACTCAAACTCTCCCAAATACAAAAGAAGGCCAAGTTTGGATCCAGTTGATCTGGAATGTGGTATGGGTGAAAGGGGAACAGAAAGACAAATCATGGCAAGCTCTACCTGAGCTAAATTGTCTCTTGATATTCATGGTGTACATATTTTCTATTCAAATTAAAGGATACGGTGTTCATCTTAAGAATGTATCCTTTACTCATTTACCAAAGTGGTGCTTAGAAATCAAAGCCAATATCTGCAAAATTGCAAGTTAAAGGATAGCCCCATTGTTTCAGGTCTATTAACTAGTTATCTGCTTGTTTGAACCAGCATGGCTTAGGCTGTTGCATTCCTGCCATTAGTACTCAGGCTGATTTATTGTATTCGAAAAATGTATAAATACTGATACTTTCTTCATATTCAGGCATTAAGACAAGGAATTTTTCAGAGGTTCAATCAACTATTCTGATGATCATTTAAAGAAACCAAGGAGAAAAGCTGAGGTAAATAAAAGCCTCTTTTATTCTAGCTGGAAAAAAATTGCTTTGAATGCAAACAGAATGCCTTTTTAAATATGCATGTGACTAACAACATTTAAAAATGCTTTTAGGCCATCAATAATTAAAAGAAGCAGAGATATATAGAGAAAATGTTTCATTATTTTATATGTAATGCATTACTTCTGAATGCAGATCAATAAAAAATATATCTAGGGCAGTTATTCCATCCTTTAATCAATTAATGCCCATTTGTATACTCACTTAATGGACATAAGCCCTACTCACCTAATGGACATAAGCCCTACTGAACTAATTTGAATTTACTTCTGAGTAGACATATGTAACACTATGCTGGAATTATGTTGCATATAAAATTACATATTACCAAAATCTTTCTAAATCAGGGGTGTCAAACTGCTGGCCTGCAGGCCGGATGCCTCATCTGGAAGCCGCGCCCACCCCATTGCTGGCAATGGCAAAACAGTCCCAATACGTTGCACGACATCACATGACATCGCAAGTTTGATATGTCTGTTCTAAATTTTTTAATAAGAAAAAAACTTATTTTTTTTCTAGTTTGGGAATTTCAAAAATCACAAAATGCCAGGAAAACAGAAAACATGTTCAAAGCAATCTGCATTGTGGGAAATTCATAGGGTAGCATGTTTGTGCACATGTCATTAGATAATTCCTGTGATTATGTACATTTATCCCATCATCTGTCACTAGTTTGGATGTTATAGCATTGTGTGATGATGTCATCACAAATATTTTACCCATGAATTTTGATTAAGGATGTATTTCAAATGAGCTAAACTAGCTTGATGAAGCTCACAGACCTTAATGTCTAAAGAAATTCAAAATGATTTCACCTTGAGATGAAAGTACTTGCTAGCAAATAGGAAGACTATGTCCAATCCCACAATATTGTACAGGAAAAACTATTTCAGAATATAAACAATTCTTGGTTTTGGATTTGTGTCAAAGAGATGAAAATGTAGATTCTAGCTCATCCACCATTTTGTAGCAAGAATTAACCTGTTTGAGGCTAAATCCTAAATGAAGAGATCCAGGCATACAAAAAGTTGAATCATCAATATTTTTCAGAGCTTGGAAAGGGACAGAGACAACAAAAAGTGAAAATGGGGAAATGGGGAGAGTCAGAACATTGGGAAACAAAAAAGAGGATAATTTAGCAGACAGTGGCTGGGACTTTGAAGGCTGGAGACCAGTGTGATCCCAAACTCCTTAAAGATAACATTCTATTTGTTATAGCCTATATAATATTAACAGATTCTTTCATATCTGAATGGTAAGATTAATTTATATGGGCACTCTGTTTACAGATTAGGAAATACAGTGACTTTAGTCCTATCCTATTATTTAATCATAGAAACAGAACACCTGTTAGTTACATTTTTTTAAAGCAATGATGTTGCCTTACATCTGCTGATGGAGCAGTCTGGAATTTAGCTTGATGCATTACTAACTGCTTCCCACAGATGCAAATGCAGTGCACATAAAATCATTCCCTTTCTGGTGCGCTAGACCTATTGAATAATTCAGAGCATAAAGCATAACCTAATGCTTTTATTGTGCCAGGGGACAATGATTTATTTTCATGGAGATTATCTGAAAGTTGTCTGCCCAATTTGCTGCTTCGAGTCTTTCCAGTAATACAAGGCACTTATCAAATTAGAATTCTTAGGGAATAGAATGACATATACCAATCTATATTTAGCAACCACAACCAAAAAGCAGCTGAATCAGCTGACTGGAAGCCACTACCCTGATATTCAGTCTTGGCTTAGACAGCACATATTCAGTACCGAAGTGAAGGAGAACAGACAGTGCAGGAGAGACTCTGAACCTGAAGATTTGCAAACAGCCAAGCTGTATTTGAAACAAACACCTCCAGGTAAGAAAGAAGGCATTTCAGTGGAATCTGTGCTCAAATTCTCATAAATGTAGTGATTGGAATGAAGAGCTGAAGGAGAAGAAATACCAATTTGAGGTATGGACACTAATGCCACTTGGGTGTGCTGGCTATTTGTGTGGCCAAGGCAGGAGGAGACCCAAGGGAACTTCACTCAGCAGACTATTTGAAGAGCTCCCATGCTTGCGTGCCTTTGCTTTGTCAGTTCTGTGAATTTCAGAATGGCTTATGATTACAGTCTGTGCTTAATACAGGATGTGGAAAGATCAATTAAGCCTGGGTTAGAGCAGTCACCGTGAATGAATGGAAGTGGGTAAAACAAAGCGATGAATAGAACAGATTCAGTTTCTTTTGAATTTATTCTTTCCATTGCCAATATTATTAGTGTTGCTCATCAGACTATTTCTTCATCACCAAAGACAATTACTATGTACCAATAAGCATTTTTAAAAATTGGCATTTCAATTGTCTAGTGAAAATATCCTAACTGTCTCTGTTCTGTCATAGTTTGGTATTCTATAGTCTCTTAGACCAAAGCAGGTAGATGAGAAAATACCACCTAGTTGTGATAAGCCTTTTCTCCAACTCAGCTGGAGAGTTTAAATGGCAGAGCCAAATGTCATCTCAGTGAATGAATTCTGAAGGTTTCCTAAAGGCAAATGGTGGCTTTCCTTTAAATAATAAAAAAAGAGGAAGTTTGACAGTATCAAGGTCAAGATGCTTCAAAATATCCCTGGACCAATGAGTTTGTGTTCACCTTTGAAGAGTTGAGGGGGGGAGTTCTTCCTCACAACATGAACATCCTTTGAAAACTGCCTTTTCTCCTTTTCTTTGTGGCATTTCCTTCTTCTCATCCCCACACTCCATCTGAGGCCTATTAAAGCTATTTTCCCTAGTTTTGTCATGGCATCCTTCACTAATAATGCAAACAAGAATTGGGATTTGCCCAGCTTGTCCTAAATATCTGTCTGTCTTTCTCTTTATTAGAATTTATATCCTGTTCATTGCTGGAGTCTTTGAGTGATTTATTGGCCCCAGAGCCAATTTAGGCTACTACAGGCATACCCCTCCTCTCCATGGTCATTTTTGACCAAACACCTGGGTATCCACAGGTGCATTTGTTCACAGAATACCTGATTTTCCAAAGTACTTGATGGTTCTTCCCCAAGCTCCTTAGAAACATTACTTTACTACCTCTTGAAAGAGCTGTAGGTTTGCTGTACAGAAGAGCCGATTTAAACAATTCAAGAGAACTGGGTGTTTCTAGTTCTGTCACCAATGGATGCATTATTTCCATTGCTTTCACTAAGAGAGGATATTAAATGGCCTTACTCTTTGTTGTTTTCATTACTTTGTGAGGGGGGCTTCATGTTGTCTATAATATTAATGATTTGTTATTAGACAAGGATCAATCCTCCTGATTGCCTGCTGACCACTTCTGCAGAACCCTCTTCTGTCATTTTGTGTCAGGACTGCCATTCTCCTGAGGCAGGATGTGTCAAAAACAAAAGTTTCTTATAATCATGATCTCCCACTGCATCCCAGTCTCCTTGCTGCCTATGATCAGGCTATTTTAGGTTGTTAGTTTAGAGCTTTTTAAGAAAAATGCTAGACTCATGTTAAAAAAAATATCCTGGCAGGTTGCTAATATGGAAGTAGAATTCTGCCATGCAGGAGCATCAGAGGCATTTTTTCATATCTTAAATGAAATTGGCTTTCAGGAATGATTTTAGAATTTTGAGATCAGGCTTTTATTATATAGCTGATCTGCCTCATTAATGGATTGTTTATTATTCAATTCCTTTTATCTATTAATTCTAGGAATTGTATGCTCAAAAGCCCTTCTAGGAACTGTACTTTGATGGCCCTGTTGTGTTTCCCCCACCCCCCTTAAATGATTGAATAGGTTAATATTTCCAGATATTGGCTGCTGGTATTTCTGATTCATACCTTACTCATTTCATCCCTAAAATCTGCTCAGCCTTTTCATATATTCTACAATTGCCCACCAACTATTGATACTGCAGGTCCCATGATTCCCAGCTAGTATCTCCATATTACAGAAAGCTATAGATATTCAAAATGAATTGAAATAACCAAGTATTACTTCTAGATAAATAGATAACAACTTGTTTTTTACTCCTAGCAACCACATACATAGATTTCTCCATGACAATCTGTCCCTAAGCTGGTCTTCCAGATCTTGCAAGAATCACTGTCACTGAGTCCATCCAACTTGCTTCCTGTCATCCTCTTCTCTTTCCTTCCATCTTTCTCAGCATTACAGCCTTCTCCAGGGAGTTAGGTCTTCATATAATATGTTTAAAGTAGATTTTTAGAACAAACAAAATGGTTTTGGTAGAAACCCTATGAATACTGATTGATTAGTTATTAATATTTAAAATATTCTTCACCCTACCTACATGATTATTTCTTGGCATAATCCTAAGGAATGAACTCAATTCTATGAAGCCAGAATTAGTTTTTCAGTAGGATGAGAATAACACAGTTGGGGAAGGAAGGAAGGAAGGAAGGAAGGAAGGAAGGAAGGAAGGAAGGAAGGAAGGAAGGAAGGAAGGAAGGAAGGAAGGAAGGAAGGAAGGAAGGAAAGGAGGAAGGGTTGGTTTGTGTATCAGAGCACTGAAGGCAGTGGTGGGATTCCGCCAGTTCGCTCCACTTTGGCAAAACTGGAAGCTAATTTTTTTGTTGCCCAGGCCCAGAATGGACTTCCAAGAGCGGCATCCACATAGAGAACCAGTTGTTCACATATTTGAATCCTACCACTGACTGAAGGGTATTATGGTCAAATGAGGAATGGAGAAACATTGCTCCCTTAAAAGTGTGGGATTTCAAGTTTTAAAGAATGCATGTAGAACATGCCAGGAAGATGAATGAAACAATTTCTTTTTATATGCAAAAATGTATTCAAGCCTAATGGTTTTATAGCACCTCCTACTAATAAAACTATTAATAAATAAAGCTTGATAAATCAGTTTCAGTCAGTGGCATCACACAATTGTGTAATGGGCCTCTGGTTTGGCTTCTCTAAAAGGCAAAGCATGCAGTTGTTAGGTGGGAGTGTTCTTCCGAAACCTGGTGTCATGGCATGTTGCCCTGAACCACACATCTGCTGAAAAATGTACAAAAAAATGTTATCTTGCCCCCTTATAATAAAATTGCCTACCCAGTTTTAAGAGAAATATTCCTGGAGAAGGAGGAAAAAGTTATTTTAAAAATGTATATATTCACATATTTACAAAAAAAAACATGTAGGCTATATATATGTTTTTAGCCTATAAAAAGCTTTCTCTAATAAGCAAAAAAAGGACTTGATACTGAATAAAGTTATGTAAAAAAGAGTAAAAATAATAAGACAAAGGCTTATTCTAAATGAAATTTATTTATGCTTACAGCTTCCATAAGAACGAGGTTTACATTAACGTAATATATTGCTTACAAAATATAATGGTTTCATTAAATCTTTAGGATAGATTCACATTGGTTAATGATATCTCATATATTATTTTCAGTAATGGCTCCTTGGATAAGACTGAGCTTAGCAAAGCCTCTTCCAACCATCAGTGAAGCCTTTGAGGATATTCTAGAAGACATAACAAGCAACACAAATGGTTTTGAAAATGTTTACATGAATCCAGATTCTTGTTCAGTTGAAGACCACTGTCAATCAAACTTCCAACTAGCAAAATCGACTTTTCTAGGATCTCTGGAGAGCAAGTATCAATTCCAAGACAAAGAGAGATGTGGAATGCCGCCCAAGGGTCAAACAATCTTAAATTTATCTGAGTCACCAAAAATGGTTTCTAGATGCACTCTTCCTAAAGTGTTGTCATTACAACATAACAGTTTCATTCATGATTATATCAAAACCTACTCTGCTTCGGGCAGGAATGCATTAGAAGACTTGTATGAAGGAACCCAGAAGACTTGTGGGTGGAAATGTCCTGTTGGCGGTGAGAATACAGGAACTGATTGCACACAGTCCAATTTTCACAGCACCTATGTAGTCACACCTCAAGGAAAAATGAGCAAAAAACAACATGGGACTAGCTTACCAAGATACCCTTCTCCAAGACCATCACAAAGAGAAAATGGTTGCCAGGAACAAAAATATAGTTTCAATCAAGACAAGGTGCCAGCTTTGGAAAGCAGCTCCAATCCAAACCCTCTTCCTGGTAAATCAATCTGGCTGCATCCTACCAGAGAAGCACCACTGAGTGCCAGGGATTGGCGATCTTCACAAAGAGGGCAGCATAATTTGAAGACAACAGGATGTCCTGAAAAAGAACTTCTGAAGTCTTCTACTCATAAACAAACTCTGAAAGGGGAGGCAGATAACAGAAATAGCTGGGTGGAGTATTTCCATATTGATAAGAAAGTCACAGGTCGTGATTGGATTGCAGAATACCAAAGTGCTTGGAAAGAAGCCAAGGTTAGAGCATGCCTACTCCCTGCCATAGAAGAGTCATAGTTTTCTTTTTATTTAACAGCAACAAAAAAGATATAAAAATCTTTACTTCCCTGTTGTGAAGAGCATCTGTAGCATTCCTCCTGTTAATGGCACAGAAATGCTTTATTACAATTCGTGTACATGGCAGATAACCTTGTGCAAATGACTAGGAAGATATGTGCATCTTCAGACAATCAAGAGGAATAAGCAGCAGTGCACCATAGAAGACATGATGAAGGTTCTGTATCTTAGGCATTCCGATAATAAGCTATCATTGTTAAACGTGTTTCTAATATCTTGTAATTTTGACTGTAGAAACAGTCATGAGACATTCCAAACACATCCAGTTTGGACATGCTGGAACTGAAGTCTATCTGAATTTAGCTAAAGAGCACTACAAAATATACAACAGAAATAATGTTTGATATATTAATAGTAGGATAGGATTTATTCTGTTAGATTTTTATCATAATCAAAAAGAGAGCCTGGAAGAATCCAGAAGCAAAGATCTACTACTTCAGAAGAGCACAATGGCTCAGCAAAAGCTCAAAATCCCTCCCATTCTGTTGCCTCCTTCCCAGCATCTATATTCAGAGTAACTAAATGTCAAGGCTCCAAAGAGCCACTGATCACATTATAATAACTGATTACATTATTTGCCCTGAATTTTATCTGCTTCCCTTTTAATTCTAATTAATTGGAAAGCCATTGGTGTATCTTGTTTATCAACACATCCCGTATGCTATCTATTGCAAGAAGATTTTGTTTGCCTTCATCTCTGGGTTCACTAGAACACTATTGTTGAACATTAGACTATAAGCCAACTCTTATTATTAGCTTTTGTCATCTTTTTATAGAAATTAAATGTCTTTCCTCAACTGCAATTTCTTAAAAGAAAGTAAGAAATAACAAAATATTGTTTTTCGTTTGACTTTTATTGTTGTTCTACTTTCATAATGATGAAACTTTCATTGTTTTGGCTTTATTTTTTTGTGTTTTCCTTTGCTTTCCTTTTGATTGTTCAGAAATATAAGTTGCTTGTGCTTATCTAAGAAATAACAGGGGAATTTAGGTCCTCTTATAGGAAGTGTAGTCATAGGCAATCACTTCCTGGCTGAACAAGTATATTAACAATGTTAAAGGTCATCAATAACTATTGAAAAATACAGTGCCTTTCAATCAGAGCATTTCATTTTTGTCATGCATTTACATTATTTTTTTCTCATGAGTTTTTGTTACATCATTGTACTGTGATATATCGTAGTTTTTATGACTCTTATACTTTATTCCTGAATCTAGCATTAAATAGGTTAAAATACTTCTACTAAATGAAAAAGACACTTGATATCAAACTGGTAAACTAGTGATATGTTTGTAAATTAGCTGCCCAGAGAGGAAGGAAGGAAGGAAGGAAGGAAGGAAGGAAGGAAGGAAGGAAGGAAGGAAGGAAGGAAGGAAGGAAGGAAGGAAGGAAGGAAGGAAGGAAGGAAAGGCTGCTTGGTTCATTAGGCCTGACAACTCAGCTCTGCTCTCAACTGACTTGTAAAATTCTAGAAACTTTTGCAATGGTCTCTTGCAAGCTGGTATAATCCACCTCCAGCACATGGCTGTAGAAAACTGAATTCTCTTCTAATTTGGTAGGGCTAATTTTTTTCCCCTGACATTAATTGAAATCCAACTGTCTATACTTGACAAATATTTTTGCTTTGCTGCATTTTTGCTGGTCAGATGGCAGCATGTCATTTAAAAAAAACCCAAATTGCACTGTTTTCTTGAAATGCATGTTAAAAATCATCATATTTAATCATTAGTGTTCATATGAAAGCAAGAGACTGCTTTACATATCATTATATGAGATAGCAATTATGTCACAATTCAGTTGTAATAGTCTACTACTTGTGACTGTGGTATGCCAGTCTTTCTTCTTATTGTAGGTAAATGTAATGTGGGCTGAGGATTTGCATGAATGTATACATACACAACAAACTGTGTACAGTATCACTTTAATTAACTGCTGAATATAGTTTGTGGTGTACTATAGTGGTGAAGGAGATGGATTAAGAATGGTGAGATCCAGGTCTAAGTCCATCCTTAGCCATGGAAATTCACTGAGGATCTCAGCCTAATATTCCTCACAGATTTTTATTGTGGGGAGGAAATGAAAGGAGTTCCATTTCAAAGCCATCTTGAGCTCCTGGAGAAAAGGCAACATATATAGCAAATAAATAATTATATATATCCACTAACTTTCTGAGGATTGAAAGTGGACCTGGGAGGAACCATATGCTTTTAGTTGTTCTATATACATCAGGGGTTGCATGCTGTGCACTAAAGTTATTCTTTCATGGACCTCCACAAATTTCCATTTTGAGCTTTACTCAGGATCCAGTCATCCTTATTAAGCCCTCCTATTTCCCAGGGAAATTGCATTTCCATCACTATAAAATGCTGTGTTGGTAATCAGGAAATATCAGAATCAAACAAACAAGTAGCACAATTCTCTTTCATGTTCACTCAACAATCCATCTTCCTCAGCTACATTCATTGGGAGAAAAACTATGCTTTCTGTAGTGGCCCACAAAGAAATATCAGCTCACAGCATATCCTGTAAAGACAGTAGAAGTATTGTTCCTGGTATGTTATTTTGGAAAATCATGATATAGATATATATATAAAACTTTGCAAAAGAATTTGACAACTCAGTATGAAAGGTATGGTGTGAGCTGTACCTGATGAGGAAATTAATTATTTCTGGAAAATGTGAGCTACATGATGGAGTGACTTACCAATGCGTAGAATTTCTTCTGCCTCCAGCCAGTCACTACATCAGCTATGGAAAGTTGGGGAACATTCAACAATGTTAGTTAGAGGATTAACTTTGGTCAAAGATTTTTTTTAAAGTCTTGTTTGTTTTTTAACTTCTTGGAATAGAAATAGAAAGCTAGTCAGGAATAAAGAGAAAAAAAATCAAGCTTTTATCCTTCACATTCTGGTTTGCTGTAACTCTAGATTTAAACTGAGTGCAAACGAAGGAAAGAGGAAAAATTTACCTTCTTTTCATCTTGGATTCAGGCAAATATTTTGTTAAATATTTGTTAAATATTTTGTTCTTAATTCAGTTAATAGCTGCACTTATTTATTGTACAAATTTGTGGTGAATCAGATGATTGCACAAGGATCAGATATTTGTTTCTCGCCAATGCTTATACACTAAAAAAATACTTGTAGGAATAAATGTTCATCCAAGTGTTTGCTTTAATCAAAAATTAAAGGGAAAGGCAAAGCCTGTTCCAACTCATTAAAGTTTGAGAAGCTAATACCCAGCATTTATATTCCTGTCATGTTTGTGCTTTAATTGCTCAAGACTCTCTAAGGAAACCTAGTTTTTGTCATGTGCAATGCTGTGAATTGTCCAGTGAGGATTTTGTCACAAACTGAATGGTGGTGAAAATGCAGATCAATGTTATGTTTTAAAGCTTCAGCCTAGTGAAGAGAAAATACCATGATAATTAATATAAGATACTCCCAAGTACAGTAAGCTTGCCTAGGATTACTGGGAACTAAGCCGTATCAGATTTCCAAATAAAGATTCTTTTAGGATAATGATGTAATTCTCATGAAGAAACACTGGTAAAGATGTTTTGAAAACAACATTGTTATGAAAAAAATAGCTAGAATCTATGGCAGCAACAGAGGCATCATCAACTCATCCATAACCTAATGAAAAGGAAGGTTTTTAAGCATGTTTGAATATTTTTCAGTTGGTGTCAGCACCACATGGATAGATGTCTTTTATCCCTGGACCTGTGACCCTAAGCACACTTATTGTCCAGTGGGCAATATTTATAAAGACTCATTTTACATGAGAAGTATATTGGAGTACTGCTAATCCAAATGGACCTTTAGCATCTGAGAATGGTTTTGCAACAAAGCAGAGTGTTTGTGGTGACCAAACCCTAACCCTAAGTGGAATTTTCCTCCAATGGGATTTTCCCATGTATTTTACCAGGAAACATAGATAGGGCAGCCTAATTAAGTTACTTCCCTCCTAACCATACAAAAGCAGTCCAAGTGTGTTGGCAATGTCCATTTTGCTCTATGAGTTCATGGTGACCTAACCCTAACCCTAAGTTGAATTTTCCTCCAATGGGATTTTCCCATGTATTTTACCAGGAAACATAGATAGGGCAGCCTAATTAAGTTACTTCCCTCCTAACCATACAAAAGCAGTCCAAGTGTGTTGGCAATGTCCATTTTGCTCTATGAGTTCATGGTGACCTAACCCTAACCCTAAGTTGAATTTTCCTCCAATGGGATTTTCCCATGTATTTTACCAGCAAACATAGGTAGCGCAAGCTAGAATGGTCAGTGCCCTCCTAACCATACCCAAGAACTCCGAGATTGTCGGCGATGTCCATTTTGCTCTATGAGTTTATTGTGACCAAACCTTAACCCTAAGTGGAATTTGCCTTCAATGGATTTTCCCATGTATTTTACCAGGAAAAATAGGCAGCGCAGGCTAGAAAGGTCAGTGCCCTCCTAAACATACCCAATCACGCCCAGTTTGTTGGCGATGTTCATTTTGCTCTACGAGTTCATGATAACCTAACTCTAACACTAAGTTGAATTTTCCTCAAATGGGATTTTCCCATGTATTTTACCAGAAAACATAGTTAGGACAACCTAGAAAAGTAAGTTCCCTCCTAACCATACCAAATCACTACGAGTGTTTTAGCAATGTCCATTTTGCTCTTTGAGTTCATGGTGACCTAACTCTAACCCTAAGTGGAATTTTCTTCCTATGGGATTATCCTATGTATTTTACCAGGAAACATAGATAGGGCAGCCTAGAAAAGTAAGTGCCCTCCTAACCATACCCAAGCCTCCGAGTGTGTTGGTGATGTCCATTTTGCTCTATGAGTTTATGGTGACTAACCCTAACTCTAAGTGGAATTTTCCTCCAATGGGATTTTCCCATATATTTTACCAGGAAACATAGATAGGGCAGCCTAGAAAAGTCAGTGCCCTCCCAACCACACCCAAGCACTCCGAGTGTGTTGGCAATTTCCATTTTTCTCTATGAGTTTATGGTGACCAAACCCTAACCCCAAGTGGAATTTGCCTTCAATGGATTTTCCCATGTATTTTACCAGGAAACATAGATAGTGCAAGCTAAAAAGGTCAGGGCCCTCTTAACTATACCAAAGCACTCCGAGTTTGTTGGTGATGTTCATTTTGCTCTAGGAATTCATGGTAACCTAACTGTAACACTAAGTGGAATTTTCCTTCTATGGGTTTTTCCCATTTATTTTACCAGGAAACATAGATAGCACAGGCTGGAAAGGTCTGTGCCCTCCCAACCATATCCAACCACTCCGAGTTTGTTTGCAATGTTCATTTTGCTCTTCGAGTTCATGGTAACCTAACCCTAACCCTAAATGGAATTTTCCTCCAAAGGGATTTTCACATGTATTTTACCAGGAAACATAGATAGGGCAGCCTAGAAAAGTCAATGCCCTCCTAACCATACCCAAGCACTCAGAGTGCTTTTGTATGTTTAGGAGGGCACTGGAAGTTCTAGCATGCGCTACATTTGTTTCCTGGTAAAATAAATGGGAAAATCCCATAGGAGGAAAATTCTACTTAGGGTTAGGGTTAGGTTACCATTAACCCGTAGAGCAAAATGAACATCACCAACACACTCATAGTGCTTGGATATGGTTAGGAGGGCACTGACCTTTCTAGCCTATGCTATCTATGTTTCCTGGTAAAATACATAGGAAAATCCAATAGGAGTGCTTTCGTATGGTTAGGAGGGAATTGACTTTTCTTGGCTGCCCTATCTAAGTTTCCTGGTAAGATACATTGGAAACTCCCTTTGGAGTTAAATTCCACTTAGGGTTAGGTTACCATGAACTCGTAGAGCAAAATGAACATTGCCAACAAACTCGGAGTGCTTGGGTATGGTTAGGATGGCACTGAATTTTCTAGCCTGCGCTATCTATGTTTCCTGGTAAAATAAATGGGAAAAACCCATAGAAGGAAAATTCCACTTAGTGTTAGGATTAGGTTACCATGAACTCGTAGAGCAAAATGAACATCACCGAAACACTCAGAGTGCATGGGTATGGTTAGTAGGGCACTGACTTTTGTAGGCTGCCCTACCTATGTTTCCTGGTAAAATACATGGTAAAATCCCTTTGGAGGAAAATTCCACTTAGGATTAGGGTTAGGTTACCGTGAACTCGTACAGCAAAATGAACATCGCCAACAAACTCAGAGTGCTTGGATATGGTTAAGAGGGCTCTCACCTTTTTAGCCTGTGCTATCTATGTTTCCTTGTAAAATACATGGGAAAACCCATACGAGGAAAATTCCACTTAGGGT